TCCAATTTTTATATTTCTTTTTTTTTTTTTCAATTTTTTAGCCACGAAAAAAATGGACAATAAAAATCAAACGCAAGCTAAAATTAAACATCCCATTTTCTGAATGAACTCATCTTTATTTTTCATTTTTTTACACTGCATTTCGATATTTCAATTTTCATTTTTTTTTTTTCAAAAAATGTGATACTAATACTAAATAATAGGGAGTAGAGAGTATTAATTAATAGGGAGATGCTACGGTCTGTTAGGGAATCATTTCGTGTCGTGATTTTGTAACCGTTAGATCAATCATTTTTCAACATAATAATTCCGTAATGTGACCGTAACATTAAAAATAGATAGAGAAAAGAGTGTCACGGGCTTGTCTTGAAAAGCCCTTAATCCACAGTCCTAGAAAGACACATATTCCCCTCTCTCCTCCAATACCCTATAATAAATAATAATAATAATGTAAAAAATAACATAAATAATACAGTACAGTACTAACAATCCTTCCCTTTGGGCTTTTAGAGCATCTCCAAGAGTCTCCCTATTCCTCTTTCTTATCTCAAAAATAGGGATTTTCTCTCAAAAATTGTCTCCAACAGTTCCCCCAAACTTGGTCCTATTATTAGGATGTCCTCAAATAAAGGCTTCTCTTCCTCATTCCTGGGGAGGAAAAAATGACCCCCTATTTTATCTCCCCGCCATTATTTTCGATACGCGCTCTTTTCTTTCAACCTCTCGCGGTCTTTTTCCTCCCTGCTCCTTTCATCTCCCCCTCGTCGCCCTCCACCGCCGCCCCTGAACAGGTCGAATCCCTCGCCGCCGCCGCCGGAAAGGTGCCGCCACTACCGGATGGAAGGTGACGGCGTCGCTCCAAGACGAAAAGGTGGCGCCGCCTCCGCAGCTGCCGCAAACAAGGTGCCGTCGCCGCTGCCCGATCAAGACTCCATCGCCGGCATCTCGAGAGGTCCACCCAGTCTGGGCCTCAAGTGAGCTTTTAGATAGATTTGTGGGCATGGTTCAGATTCAAATTATAAAACAGGGAAACTCTTGAAGGACAGCAGAAAATAGGAAGCAAATGGATATAAGATGGCTCCTTATTTCTTCAAATAGGAAGTCTAAAATAAGAAGTCTCTTGGAGATGCTCTTAGCCCATAGATTTGTTATATTCTAGGTAACCACACTAAAGAACATAGTAAATTTTGTGAAACGCTAAACACCGCCCTCTTTTTTATATTTACCGCCCCCAAAAGACTAATTTGCCCTTTATTATTTTTTAAAAAAGAAGAGATTTCCCTCTTTAAAACTATTTACCGGCCAAACCGAGCCTCGAAAAATTTCGAAAACACCTCTGAATAATTCCGGCGAAAAAATATTTTCCAACAAGACCGGTCATGCGGCGGCCGACCGGTCAAACCGGCGAAAAATAATTTATTTTTTTTTTTGGGCCGGCCGGCCTCGAATGCCGGCCGTAGCCGTGCCGGTCTTCTTTTTGCCGGTTGGCCGGCCCAAGCACGGCCGGTTTTGCCGGTTGGCCGGCCCATGCACGGCCGGCAAAGCCGGTTAGCCGGCCATTTTTTTTATCAAATTTTTTAATTATATACATTATATTAGAATTTAGATTTATGTTATAAATTAGAATTTAATGTCTCACAGTTAAAATTTAGAAATTGTTAAAGTATAAATTATAACTAATTATTTTATATAATTTTATTATTATTATGTTAGAACTCATAAATTATCATGTTATATGACATAATACTAATTATCTCTAATAAAATACTAATTAGTGATGCTATTAAAAATTGTATTTCTTTTTTTTTTTCTTAAATCTGCTCTTTTTCAACTCGGTAATAAATTTTAAAATACAAAATAATATTTTGACTTAAATTTAAAATTCACAAATACCAATTTAAATAACAAATTGAACGAAAAAGATCGGATTGTGTTAGAGCAATTCATTGAGACCGATTAATTAAGTATGATTTGACCGAATTTTATGACAAAAGATTGTTTGACACTTTTCTCAGAGTTATATGATTCGTTTGAATATTATAGTAGGAAAAGCGCTCTAACAAAATAGTAATAAATTTCAATTTATAATAGTAATAATCATACCATAATAGTTTCTAACTTCTAACATAGTAGTACTAAATATTATTTATAAGGCTATCAATTCTAAACTATACCATAATAATATCCAACTTCTAACATAATAGTAATAAATTATAATTTA